TCCGGACCACACTCGGCAGGAGCTCCGACTGCCGCCCTTTACTGAGGCCCGGCTTGCGGTCACAGCGGGGCCTGCCCTGGGGCAGAGCGCCGTTCGTGCCACGGCCGGCTCCCGCTTGCCCCGTGGGTTTTCTTTCGAACTGGGATCCTGATGCTGCTTGAATGCCTGGCCTGAATTGGCGACTGCAAGCCCCCACAAACAAATTTACACGCCACCCCCCTTCCCACTGCTTTCACTTGTGTTCACAGCTCTCGATGATCGCGTCCCACCGCGGAAGATTGTTATCGCTCACGTGTATATTGCATAGATCGGTGTGTATATAAATATATCTCTCTTCTGCCGCCGCTGCAGTCTCCCTCATCCCCAAAGTGCTGTCGGTGCCACATATGTGGCGATCGGGACCTATCTGGAATGGCTGTCCCCGTACGCCCACATGCCGCCTTCTCCCTCGCCCACTCGTGAGGTCATAGGGCTCTCCCTGAGGTTGGCCCTCTCTGTTTTCCAGGGACAAGGTGCGCAGGGAGTGGAAAGGAACGATGGTAAAAGGAGAGGGAAGAAGCGGCACCTTGCAAGGTTGAATTGCTGTAGACTAATCAGCCCCCAATCGGTGTGTCATGAGAAATAAACGAGTACGAAGCCAAAGCCTCTGCCTGAAGAGGAGCCTGCCTGCTGTGTCTCTGCATGATTTACTGAACCTGACCTTGCCTCCTTCGAAGCAGCTTGCACAGAGGGTGGGCGGCTCTGCCACAGCTTTTGCACTGGCTGTGACTGAATTGGGCAACTGCACTGGAGAACTAGCCCCACTCCCAATGAAGGGAGCTTCCCACAGTGTCTCTGAATGAGTTAGCTGAATTCTGGAGGGGGGGAAATGCGCCGCAGATATTAGAAGTTTGGGAAACACTGTTGACATAGGGGCTTTTGATGCAAATTTACGGGCGTGTTGAGGAGTTCTGAATCAGAACGAGCAATCAGGCAAAGATAGGAGGTGTGCCTCTGTGTATAGCCACCTAAAACCAGGTTCAGGCTTGGCCTTGATTATGCATCGGCTCTGTCTCCCTTCCTCTCCCCCGACACTCTCACCATCCTTCTGTAACTCTGTTTCACTACACTTCCATCCTTAGACCCATAAATTTGTCTTTCCCTCTATGGAGCACCACCACGGCCTCCCGCCCACGAGGAAATCTAGGCTGCGTTCTAGTCCTTTGCAGTGCAAATCTCTCCCTTTCTGTATAAAGCCTTTCACAGCCAGGCCCACCGATTGAAAGCTGAAAGGCTCATTGTGTTGGAGAGACAGCATAGCCTCACTCGCTGTATTTTTAACCTTTCGAAAGCAACTGTCTGTGAGAGAGAAAGATGGGGGTGGTGTCACAACATGGGTTTGGTGCCTACGCTGTTCTCTCAGGCGAAATTAGGGGCACTCACAAGTTTCAGTTTGACCCAGAAATGGGAAATAAAGGCGCTAGAAGAAGAAGAGGAGGAGGAGATTGGATTTTTACCCCGCCCTTCACTACCCAAAGGTGTCTCAGAGCGGCTTACAAACTCCTTTCCCTTCCCCTCCCCACAACAGACACCCTGTGAGGTAAAAGAAGAGAAGAGATTGGATTTATACCCCACCCTTCACTACCCAAAGGAGTCTCAGAGCGGCTTACAAACCCCTTTCCATTCCCCTCCCCACAACAGACACCCTGTGAGGTAAAAGAAGAAGAAGAAGAGAAGAGATTGGATTTATACCCCACCCTTCACTACCCAAAGGAGTCTCAGAGCGGCTTACAAACCCCTTTCCCTTCCCCTCCCCACAACAGACACCCTGTGAGGTAAAAGAAGAAGAAGAGAAGAGATTGGATTTATACCCCACCCTTCACTACCCAAAGGTGTCTCAGAGCGGCTTACAAACTCCTTTCCCTTCCCCTCCCCACAATAGACACCCTGTGAGGTAGGCGGGGCTGAGAGAGCTCTTGACAGAAACTGCTTTTTTCAAGAACAGCTCTTATCAGAACTATGACTTGCCCAAGGCCATCCAGCCAGGTGCAAGTGGAGGAGTGGGGGTTCAAACCCGGTTCTCCCAGATTAGAGTCCGCCCACTTAACCACTACACCAAACTGGCTCTCTCCCTTCTAGTCCTGTGTGTGTGTGTCCCCAATCTGGGGGTTAATGGGGGGTATCAAGGATGCAATACAGCAGAAAACTGTCAACAGTTTCAGGGGAGAGCGGGAAAGAATGCTGAGGCAACTGCCCACTGGCCCGAAAAACGTCCAGTCCCTCAGTCTGGCTTCTACTATGGATTCTTTAAATCCCAGCCACGCACCGTCAGGTGAAAAGGGGGACACAGGCTTTGACTAAAAGGTTGGTAGTGTATAATAAGCTTGGTGTTACCTAAAGGTCTCTTATTTGGGAAACTGCTAGACCAAAGCTGTAATTACGTATGAGGTTGAGTAGAAATCACTTTTTTCATAGGGTTACCCACCAGCAATGTTTCCTTTAAGCTGTGGAGTCCTATGAGCAAAAATTCTACTTTGTGAGCTACTGGCAGTAAAGTTGTGAGGAAGCGATTTGGCTGCTGCATAAATTAGTTTGCTCTGGAGCCATTCTTCCTGAGCGAAGACAAAAATGCATGAGCTGGAGGCTACAAAACTGTGAGCTAGCTCACACTCACTGAGCTTAGAGGGAACACTGGTCCAGTGGCACCTTTTAAGACCCACAAAGTTTAATTCTGGGTGTAAGCTTTTGTGTGCGTGCAGACGTCTTCAGATTCAGGTGGGCAGCCGTGTTGGTCTGAGGCAACAGAACGTTGGAGTCCAGTGGTGACTTCAAGACCCACAGAGTTTCATTCTGGGTGCTCTTATCCAGAGCCCGGAAATCCCTATCAAAAGGAAAGAAGGTTTTTCTTCATTCTTAAGCTGAGTCTGGCTGACCCCCTCCCATCCAACAGAGCTCCATGGGCTCTGATTGGCTGACAATCACTTGGATTTGCATAAGGTCAAAATCACAAGGATTGCTTCAGGTGCCTGAGGAGGGGCGGGACTTTTCAACAGAGAGAAAAAACATAGGCCAGGCGATCCAATCACTGCATCACTTACTTAGGGGTGAAGTTTGGCCAGTGTGATATAGTAATTAAGTAGGGTTACCATATTGTGAAAAGCGAAAAAGAGGACTATATTTCCCAACTACTTCAAGCAAGTGATCGCAATGACAAAATCCCATTTTAAATGCCCCTCTTTATTTGAGTTGTGATAATTGCTACTAACTCGGAATATTCCTAACCTTCCAGCCCCAAAAGAGGACATTTTCATCCGTTTTTTTAAAAATGAGCCCAAAAGGATATGGACACCAAAAAAAAAAAGGAGCAGACATCTGGTGACCCTAGGTGTTGGACTAGGAGCTTGGAAGAGCCAGGTTCGAATTTGCCTCACAGGGCTGTTGGGCAGGGGAAATGGAGACTCTCATATGCTGGTGAGAAATCCTTAGACAAAGAGCAGATTCAGCGTCTACTTCAGAAATAAATATACTGTCATCTCAAAGGACAGATTTATGGTTAGATGTAGAAATATCATATAAGAAAATCAGGGCTCTTTTTGTAGAAAAAGCCCAGCAGGAACTCATTAGCATAATAGGCCACACCCAATAGCAGAAACTCATTAGCATATTAGGCCACACCCCTGACAGCACAGCTCATTACCACATTAGGCCGCACCCCCATGTTACCAGAAGTGTGGTCATCCAGCCACACCCACCTTTTGCTTCTTATTCTGTTGACCCTCTTTGTTGTCAAAACCCAGGGCTTTTTTGTAGCAGGAACTCCTTTGCATGTTAGGCCACACACCCCTAATGTAGCCAATCCGAATGAGTTTCTGCTGTTGGGTGTGGCCTGTTATGCTAATGAGCTCCTGCTGGGCGTGGCCAACTTGGGAGCCAGCCGGAACTCCGTTCCTGTGCGTTCCTGCCCTAAAATAGCCCTGAGAAATGTCATTTAAGATGAGTTCAGCAGCAGGGCTAACTGAATGGAAGGCACAAGCAAACGTCGGAAGCGGCCTTATACCAAATCAGAGTCTTGTCTCCTCTGACTTGCAGTGGCTCTCCAGGGTCCCAGAGTTCTCTCGCATCACCTACTGCCTGGTCTTTTTAACTGGAGATGCCAGGGATTGAACCCGGGACCTTCAGGTTCCTAGCAGAGGCTCTGCTACTGAGCCACAGCCCCCCCCCCCCGAACATGGCCCATCTTCTGTTAAAGATGATGGGGTTATTTTCTTTTTCCCCAGTTGAGAGAAAGTGAACAAAAGACCATAGAGGCACGCTGAAGATTCCTAAAATCACAAATGCAGAGGAGTGATTATCAGGCTGTCAGAATGGAAACTCTTTGCACTGGACAGCAAAGAAGAAGAGAAGAGATTGGATTTACACCCCGCCCTTCACTACCCAAAGGTGTCTCAGAGAGGCTTACAAACTCCTTTCCCTTCCGCTCCCCACCACAGACACCCTGTGAGGTAAAAGAAGAGGAGGAGGAGATTGGATTTATACCCCGCCCTTCACTACCCAAAGGAGTCTCAGAGCAGCTTACAAACTCCTCTCCCTTCCCCTCCCCACAACAGACACCCTGTGAGGTAAAAGAAGAAGAGGAGGAGATTGGATTTATACCCCGCCCTTCGCAACCCAAAGGTGTCTCAGAGCAGCTTACAAACTCCTTTCCCTCCCCCTCCCCACAACAGACACCCTCTGAGGCAGGTTGGGCTGAGTGAGCTCTGACAGAATCTGCTCTTTTTCAAGACCAGCTCTTATCAGAACTATGGCTTCCCAAGGCCATCCAGCCAGATGCAAGTGGAGGAGTGGGGAATCAAACCCGGTTCTCCCAGATTAGAGTCCGCGCACTTAATCACTACACCAAACTGGCTCTCCCACCAAACTGGCACACGGCTGTATTCCCTCACACAATGAATATACATTTATTTAGAAGTCATAAGAGCACGGATGGCTGCTGGCCAAGGGCTTTTGGATCCACGATTCAGGGAAGCAGAAAAATCTATCATGAATAGTAATGAACAGAGCCTCCACGTGTCAAGGCAGTGTACCACAGAATACCAGATGCCGGGGAACCGACAAGAGGAAACGAGTGTCACCTTGTGAACTTCCTGGAGAAGTCTGGGTGGAAACCAATCCCAAGACTTGCGGGTGGGGAGTCTGGGGAGAGATTTGTACTGGGACCAAAACACCGCAGAGGCAGCCTTTTCTCCAATAAATTTGTTCTCTCTGGTGACTAGTCACAGTTCTGGGGTCCCTGGTTATTTCATAGCTTGTCATAACCCTTCTAACATTTTCAGCACGTGCCATTCTTCACTAGCCTTCAGGCTCACCACCAGTCCATCTGTTGTAAGTGGCCACTAGCCCGAGACTGACTCACGGCTGAGCTAAACTGGGACCTGGGACCGAGCTGGCTTAGGTTCATGCTGCAAAATGCATACATACACCATCAGTGTTGAGCATGGACATATGAATTAGAGTGCCCTATAAGGAAAGGCTGAGGGACTTGGGGATGTTTAGTCTGGAGAAGAGGAGATTGGGGGGGGGACATGATTGCTCTCTTTCAGTACTTGAAGGGCTGCCGCTTAGAGGAGGGCAGGGAGTTGTTCCTGTTGGCAGCAGAAGAAAGCACTTGCAATAAGGGGTTTAAATTATAGGCAGAAGGGTTCCAGCTGGATATTAGGAAAAATTGGTTTAACAGTAAGAGTTGTTCAGCAGTAGACTCAGCTGCCTAGGAAGGTGGTGAGCTCCCCCTCACTGGCAGACTTTAAGCAGTGGCTGGACAAACACTTGTCAGAGATGCTTTAGGCTGATCTTGCTTTGAGCGGGGGGTGTTGGGGGGTTGGACTAGAGGGCCTCTATGGCCCCTTCCGACTCCATGAACAGACCTGGTGCATGGGGCAGAAAAGAAAACCCCCGAAGGCACGGGATTAGGAAACATTTTTTTTTTCCATTTAATACTAGAATCTCTCAATATCTGAGATGCAGGCTTTTTTATGCAATTACATCCAATGTTAAAATTGGTAATACATAATTTACAAAGATTAACATCAAAACAATGGTCTATTTAGATATGCTCTCGTAAAAAGGAAATATATTAGCAGCATTTCTTCTCAGCAACCACACGGCCTATCCCCATGCAGACTAAAAAGAGTTCGTTATCTATATCTGAAACAAACGTAGTGCTTCTTTGGGGGATTTTTTTGTTGTTGTTTTTGTTTTGTAACCTTCCCCCCCCCGCCCCCAAAACTCTGGATTTCTATCAGCGATCGGGTGAAACGCTGCCGGTCTTTTCAGTTAATACAAAATAATCCCCCCCCGCCTGCCCACCCCAACCCCAGAATCGTTTTTAAAAAAAAGTCAGTAATTTTCTACACCAGTAAGAAAACAAAAACAAAAACTTTAAAAAAAAGGAAAAGAAAAAAGGAACCAACCCAACAACGCAAATTCTTCACACTTACCTAGAATTTGATTGTCTAAAAAATACCATTTTCTTTTTTTTTTCTTTTTCTTTTTTAGTCTTTCAACAAAAGAAAGATAAAATGGCAGAGCTAGTGTTTTCGCTTCTGGGCGCGTTCTCGTTATTATTTTTAAAAGGACTCTTTTTTTTTAGTGTTTAACACCATTTCGAGACGATGATCCCCCCCCCCCCTGTTTTGAACTAAATGGAGCAACTCAAAAAGGTTTTCGGACATGCGATTCCTTCCCCCGCCCCAACCTGTTTCCCACAACACGTGATGAGTATTTTATACTCGGGGTTTTTTTCCTGTACAATGCTTCTCTACAGTAAGAAAATATTCCAAACTATTTTCTTATTTGTCTTTTTTTTGTTTGTTTTTAATAAAATATGTTTTTTTCCTCAAAGGGCTTTCTTCTTCTTCTCTCTGCTTTTTTTTTCTCTTTAATTTTTTTTTTTAAATCGTCAGGTAAAATTTAAATGGAATGAGCCTCTCTCTCTCTCTCTTTTTTTGATCCAACTAAGAAGTAAAATAATAATTATAAGTTCAACAAGAATGTACAATCGGGACGAGCTTGGTCCGTCGGGAAAGAGAACACGGGAGTTTAGCTACCATATTGCTTTACGAGCACTCAGCAAAACAAAAAAAAAAAACCAAAAAAAAAGGGGGGGGGAGAGGTAAGATATATACAACTTGGCACATTTAAAAATGGGTTTTCTCTTAATAAGGACATCTAAAACAGGACCGTAATAGGCATATGGACGTCAAGAGAGACAGGAGCAAAGCCACGTGTAGAGTGTCAGTGTATGCCGAACTGCCAGCTCCCTTTGCCGGTCTCTGGCCTTTAAACAGAGGGACACTCCTTCCGGTGCGGCCATCGGGTGATGCTACCTGCAGGTACCGGGCCCAGTCATCGCCTCTGCAAGGAGACCCTCCTCTTCACTACAACCGAATGAGAGTCAAGGGGCGGGGAGTGGCAGGAGCATAAAATACACTGTCTCTTTGAGAGACGGACGCTTTAAGCTGTACAGTTATCATCTTTTTTTTTTGTTTTGTTGCTGTTTTTTTTTTTTAAAAAAAGAATGGAACACAAGAGTAGTGTTATCGGTGGGTAATAGTTTACAGCTCACAACAAATACTCGCTCAGAAATACTGCTTGACGGTTCATGTAGTGAAAGGTTTTCTCGTTTTTTGTCATTTGCCATTTTGACAGTTTTTTGTTTAATTTCCACAATACACTAGACACACAAGAGAACCACAGCTTGGGGGGGGGGGGATCGAAACAAAAGAAGAAAACCCAACGGGGTGGGCATGAGGGAGCTGGGATCTGCTTTATAAAAATTTCTCTGCAGCAAAAAAAGAAGAGAAAAAGTAAAAATAAAAATAAAAACGCCCTCTCCGCCACACCCCATGTCTTGGAACGGGGAACAAGTGCTTTGAGTCAACTGCTTTGCTGGGAGCTTCCGAGCAGGCCGGGCCGCTTCCATGCGATACGTCCGACGGGCCTCTGGCAGTCAAAGTGTTGCATTTCCTTGGACGTGTCTTGCGTGAGCCGCCCCCTGTGCCCCCGCAAGGGCAGCCTATGCTTTTGGCCCCTCCAGGCCTGGGCGCCTCCTCCTGTCCGCTGCCACGTGGCGTCCAATCGGCGGAGAAATGAACCGGGTGTACCGTGGGGGGGGGGGGGTTCCCACTAAGACCAGTTCCGAAACTGTTAACCCCCCCCCAATCTGGACGCCCCCCCCTTCCTCTGAGCAAGGGTGTCGGAGCCAAAAGAAATAAATTAAAAAAAAAAATCTGACCGTCTCCGACAAATGACCACAAGGTTTTTCCTTAGTACCTTAACATTGACAACAAGGCACGCCCAACACCACACACATCATTAAGAGCACTGCTGGGCGGGACGGGGCCGCCTGCCCGCCCGCCCAATCGCGTCGTCTAAGTGCTACAGAACCGTTTTGTCAGTTACCTTCTCCCCTCCTGGCCCCCCCCCTCCACACGCACCGCGAGGGGCGGGTGAGCGGTAAAACCATGCCCCTCTGTCCAGTCTCACGCACATCTGACAGCGCATCCCCAGGCCACAGCTTCTCTCTGGGAAACGGTGTCACTTCCGGTAGATGCTCTCTGGGAGACCCAGCGTGCGCCGCCGCAGCTTCCGCCCCGAGCCTTCCTCCAGCAAGTAGGTGACGTCAATGGCTGGAAAGAGAAGAGGAGGCCCTCAGGTGAGCGTTTCTCTTAAGGGTGAACTCTCGTTTCCATGTGCCGGGGAGATTCCCCAGGGAGATATGATATTGAGCCAGTTTGGTGTAGTGGTTAGGAGCGCGGACTCTAATCTGGGAGAGCCGGGTTTGATTCCCCCACTCTTCCACGTGCAGCTGCTGGATGACCTTGGGCAAGCCATAGTTCTGGGGGCTCTTTTTGTAGCAGGTACTCATTTGCATATTAAGCGACACACCCCTAATGTAGCCAATCCTCAAAGAGCTTACAGTAGCTCCTGTAAGAAGAGCTCTGTAAGCTCTTGGAGGATTGGCTACATTAGGGGGTGTGGCCTAATAAGCAAATGAGTTCCTGCTACAAAAAGAGCCCTCTGGCACAGCTGTTCTTGAAAAAGAGCAGTTTCTGTCAAGAGCTCTCTCAGCCCCACCTACCTCACAGGGTGTCTGTTGTGGGGAGGGGAGGGGAAGGGAAAGGAGTTTGTAAGCCACTCTGAGACCCCTTTGGGTAGTGAAGGGCGGGGTATAGGGTTGCCAAATATAGAAAACATACCGGCGGGGGAGCGTCCTGCTGGTCCGGGAGCCGTTTCCTGAAGCGCGCGCGCCGCCAGAACGTCACCGGAAGTGACGTCACACGCTGGGCGGGGCCACGCCATTTGAGGGGAAAACGGGGGGGGGGTTTGGCAGCCCTAGCGGGGTATGAATCCAATCTCCTCTTCTTCTTCTTCTATTGTGCCAGATTTCGACTGATGGGGCAGACACGATGGGGGGTTACCTTATGGAAGTGTCAGCCTCGGTTCCACATTTTCTGCTTGTGGGGGTCTCTGAAGGCACTAGGGTGCCCTTGGTGAGGAATGGGAGACTTCTGATAGCCCTTTGGTCTGATCAAGCAGGGCTGTGCTGATGTAGGGTGGTGCAGTGGCTCTGAGGATCAGACAAAAAACCTGGAAGACTTAATTCAAATCCCCACCCAAATCACAAGGCCCAGTGGGTGACTGCAGGCCCGTCACTTCCCTCTCAGGCTCACCTAACTCACAGGGTTATTCATTTCTACAGCCCATCTTGGTTTCGTGTAGTGGTTAAGTGTGCGGACTCTAAACTGGGAGAACCGGGTTTGATTCGCCACTCCTCCACATGCAGCTGCTGATGTAACCTTGGGTCAGTCACAAGCTCTGGCATAGCTGTCCTTGAAAAAGAGCCATTTGTGTCAGAGTTCTCTCAGCCCCACCCACCTCACAGGGTGTCTGTTGTGGGGAGGGGAAGGGAAAGGAGTTTGTAAGCCGCTCTGAGACTCCAAGTGAAGGGCGGGGTATAAATCCAATCTCTTCTTCTTCTTCTTCTCCCCAGGGGGGATCCAAGGTGGCTTACATAATTCTCCTCTCTTCCACCTTATTTGCACAACAACCCTGTGAAGGTCTGGGGAGTGCCCACGACTAAATGGTGGAGCATCTGCTTGGCAGGTGGAAGGTCTAAGGTTCAGTTTGGTGGTTCAGCCAGTTTAGTGTAGTAGTTAAGTGTGCGGACTCTAATCTGGGAGAACCCGGTTTGATTCCCCACTCCTCCACGTGCAGCTGCTGGTGTGACCTTGGGTCAGTCGTAAGTTCTTTCAGAGCTGTTCTCTCAAGGGCAGTTCTCGAGAGAGTTCTCTCAGCCCCACCTCCCGCACAGGGTGTCTGCTGTGGGGAGGGGAAAGGAAAAGAAACTGTTAGCCGCCCTGAGACTCCTTTGGGTAGTGAAGGGCAGGGCATAAATCCAATCTCTTCTTTTTCAGTTCCTGGCATCTCCAGTTAAAAGGATCAGGCAAGAGGTGATGTGAAAGGCCTCTTTCTTGGAGACCCTGGAGGGCCGCTACCAGTCTGAACAGACAGTATGGATCTTGATGGGCCAAGGGTCTGATTCAGTGTAAGGCAGCTTCATGTGTGGTCAGGTAGGCCAGGCTGAGAGTCTGTAACTGGCCCAAAGTCACCCAATGGGTGCGGTCAGACGGCGTGCCGGAGTGGTTTAAACTGCTCCAGTTCCAATCGGATTGTATTTGATCCAGGACAAGCGCAATCACATGGCCCTCTCTCGCCGCGGATCACATTGCTCCCGGGCGTCCACACGGCAGCGCGCGCCGGCGGTTTTAATTTTTTTATCAAAGGCGCTGCTCCTCCCGCTGCTGCTGCTGCCGCCCCCGCCACCACTCCAACATCTCCGTCTGATACCCTGATTGCTTCCTCCCCCCCTCCCCCCCCCCGTGGGGACTTGGGAGGCTGAAGGAAGAGGAGGAGGGGGAAGGAGGAGGCGGAGGCGGCGGCAAGAAGTAAAAGGAAGATGGAGGGAAGGGAAAGGAGGGGATGGGAGGAGTGCAAAGAGGAGCCGCCGCCGCGTTGGAGACGAAATTACAGGAGGCTGTCCCCGCCATGCAGCAGCAGCAGCAGCAGCTGGCTACGAGGACACGGGAAGAGCTGCAGGCAGCCCAGCCGCTTCCTGGGGAGGGCGCCCCACCACCACCACCGCCGCTCTTCTGGCCGAGGGAGCGGAGGGGCTGGCGCCGGGTTTTCCCCCTCCTGCTGCAGTTGCAGTGAGGGGCGGGGGGCCCTGGGGGTGGACTAAGCGCGCTTTCTCAGGGCTGGCCATAGAGCTTCCCTCCCGGCAGCCTAAAACTAAGCACCTTTTTTTTTTTTGTCTTACTAACACCAGGGTGAAGCTTCACCCAAGTACAGAAAAAAAAAAAAAAAATGGTGGGCGAGAAGCGGAAGCCTCGGGCTTCCCAGCGGAAGTGGCTCTACACCGGCGGAGAGCGATCAGACGGGGGAAAAGCGACTAGAACCGGAGCACTCAGGATGACACCACTTGGGTACCCAGTGGCAAACTACACCGGTTTAAGGGGTGTTTGCGACGGTTGGCAATGGTTAGGGACAGAAGGCTGATGTTGTGCGTGTGATCGCGCGTAAGTACTCCGTTTCTAACCGGCTTCGATGCCCCGTCTGAACTCACCCAATGAGCTTCCATGGCAGAGTGGGGAGCTTGGGTCTGATGGGTCCTAGTCTGACACTCTAACCACTGTACCACACTGTCAGCACAAAATTGAGAGGGCGGGGAGGGGGGAGAACCATAGAAGCCTCCTGGGGGAAAGGGCAAGTTAAAAATGTACGGGAAGACAGAGGCACTGTTCACACTAGTTTTGCGTACAGAAGCATCCCCTACCCTGCCACAACCGAGAAGACTGTGTTTGATCAAATCACGTCAGATTATCGGTGAGGAAGGAACCCTTCTCTCTGTTGTGGCCACGGGCTCCCTTAGAAAAGGTGAAGCCGCCTCCCCACTCCCCATTCTGGCACTGTTGAGGACGTAAGAGAACATAAGAGACGCCAATGTCGGATCAGGCCGATGGCCCGTCCAGTCCAACACTCTTGTGTCACACAGTGTCCAAAACCCAGGTGCCACCAGGAGGTCCATCAGCGGGGCCAGAACTCCAGAAGCCCCTCCCATTGTTCCTCCCCCCAAGCACCAAGAATAGAAAAAAATACACAGGAACCAACTTCGCCCCATTCCAATAAAACTTGCAAGATCACACGACACACTCCCGTGACACTCTACATGCCTTCCTGGGCTACTCCCAGTGCAGGGGCATTTAGGTGCCTGTGTCATGTTTTGGAGCCCTCCTCCATAGGAGCACACTCCCTGCACCCAGAAGATCGGGGAGGGAGAGACGTCAGAGTCTTTCTTTCTGTTGCTGTGCTCACTTTGATACTGGCCAGAAAGGTGTTGTTTTTAAGGCAGGGGAGCACACAGAAGTGCACAGCTTGGCCCTCACAGCATAGTGTGGTAGAGTGGTTATAAAGTGCTGGACTAGGACCTGGGAAACCCAGGTTCGAATCTCCACTCACGCCATGGAAGTCTGCTGGGGGTACCTTAGGCCAGTCACACGTACTCCCCCATACCTACCCCCACAGGGTTTTTCTAGTGAGGATAAAACAGGGGAGAGGAGAATGATGTAAGCGGCTTTGGGCTTCCCATCGGGGAGAAGTGTGGGATATAGAAGAAGAAAACAAAATTATAAATAAACAGACGAGAGGACCATCGCAAACCAGGAGAAGCCAAGGATGAATTTCAGGTGTGATTTAAAAAAAAAAACCCAAAAAACCCACGCTGAAATCTCTCAGATGAAATCTGTGCAAACCCCCCTTATCCCCTCTTGCAAAGTTTGGAGAAGCAACTGGGGCTGTTGGCATTACTCTGATCTGGCCAAGAACTTAAAGGGTTTTTGAAAGCTGCATTTTGTAACTCTCCTGTCCCCCACCCCACCCCCCGGCCAGGCCTGGATAGAAGATGCAGAAGCAGCAGCAGCAGAAGAGGAAGAAGAAAAGGAGGAGGAGGAGGAGGTTGGATTTATACCCCGCCCCTCACCAATGCTCCCTCTAAGCTGTGGAGTCCTGTGAGCAAAAATTCTACTTTCTGAGCTACTGGCATTAAAGTTGTGAGCAGGTGATTTGGCTGCTGCATAAATTAGTTTGCTCTGGAGCCATCCTTCCTGAGCTGAGACAAAAAAATGTGTGAGCCAGAGGTTAAAAAACTGTGAGCTAGCTCACACTAACTCAGCTTAGAGGGAACACTGCCCCTCACTACCCAAAGGCGTCTCAGAGCAGCTTACAAACTCCTTTCCCTTCCCCTCCCCACAACAGACACCCTGTGAGGTGAAAGAAGAGAAGAGATTGGATTTATACCCCGCCCTTCACTACCCAAAGGCGTCTCAGAGCAGCTTACAATCTCCTTTCCCTTCCCCTCCCCACAACAGACACCCTGTGAGGTAGGAGAGAGCTCTCCCGAGAACTGCCCTTGAGAGAACAGCTCTGAAAGAACGTCTACGACTGACCCAAGGTCACACCAGCAGCTGCATGTGGGGGAGTGGGGAATTGAACCCGGTTCTCCCGGGTTAGAGTCTGCGCTCCTAGCCACTACACCAAACTGGCTTGCAGGTGATTCCTTACCATTCTTCCCTGGGATTTTTTCTAGGAGGGTGAGGAGGATCTGGTTCAGCCTCTCCCGCTGCATGTGTCGGCGCTCCTCCGGGGTGCACGGCCGCCTGGGGGCAGGGCTGCTCTCCTCCGCCTTCTTGTCCGCCTCGCCGCTTTCCTGAGGGAACGCCTCCTTCTCCGGCTCCTCCAGGCTGGGCGCTTGCTCGCTGGGTGGCTGCTCCTGACTTGGGATCATGTCCTCCATGAGGGGAAGGGGGTCCTCCTCTTGGCCGAGGTCTTTGTTCTGGGACTTGGAGCGGTCGGATTTCCAAGATGATCTAAGGGGAGGGGGGAAAGACAGTCGTCCTCGGTACGTGACAGGGGATCACGGAGCACACTGGCTTCTTTCTCATACACAGAGGGAAGAGGATCGTGGGGTCAGAGTACATCACTCCTCGATGGAAGTGTCAGCCCAGTGTGTTCCAGCGGTTAAAAAAGAAGGCAAACTCTAAGGTAAGGAATGATCAGCAAAGGAGCCGAAAATCAGATGGCTGGTATTATAATGCCCCTGTATAGATCTACAGTGTGGCCTCGTTTGGAATACCGTGGGCAATTCGGGTCACCGTGTCTCAAAAAGGACATCGCAGAGCTGGAGAAAGCACAGAGGAGGGCGACCACGATGGTTAGGGGGTGGGAGCACCTTCTCTACGAGGAATGGCTGAAGAGTCTGGGACTTCTCAGTTTAGAAAAGAGACAACTGGGGGTGGGGGTGGGGCCATGATACAGAGGTTCATAAAATTATGCACAGGGTGGAGAGAGCTGACAAAAAGAATTCCAGAACTCGAGGGCACCCAATTTTGGTAACGGACAGTGGACTCGGGACAGACAAAAGGAAATACCTCTTTACATAGTGAATGCTTAAAATGTGGGATTCAGTACCAGAGGATGTCGTGAAGCCTACGGGGACAGACAGAAGATTAGACGAGAGAGGGATGCTCGGCTGACAGCCAGTGCCGGTGTCGAGGTTAGAGTTTCACACGAGGATCTGGGAGGCCCAGGTTCAAATTCCCACTCTGCCTGCTGGGGGTGACCTTGGGCGATCACACTCTTGGCCGAAGCCACCCCGCAGAGCTCGTGCGAGGATGAAACAGAGGAGAAAAGCCAACTTGGGTCCCCAGGGGGTGGAAGTGAAATGAACTAAAGGTCGTATCGCTTCTTGGCCTTTTGGCTAAGATCAAATGTGTAACAAAAGTTCATTATTTTCACGGCTGCTACAAGACCATCGCGGTGAGCAGCAGGAAGAGGGGCCCAAAGGAGTTAGCTGTTCCCCGTCAACGGCGGCAGCTGTTACAAAAGACCACGCGACCGGCACTGGCCAGCAGTACAGGGGAGAGAGAGACCCAAGCCTGTTTTTCTAGTTTCTGTCACCTGAGACCAGCCCCGTAGCTAGACGATTTTCTGGGGAGGGGGGGCATGACATTGAAGGACAGAAAGATGTGTGAGCGGACAGACAGGAGCTTCGCCATAAAGGCACAGGAACCAATCTGTGCTTTCCTCCTGTTTGACCCCCATTTTCTGTTCATTCATTCGTTGGTTCAGTCTTTGCGCCCGGCGGGCAGTGGGGGAGGGGAGGGGGGAGAGGGACCGGGAGATGGGGGCGCTGCAGATTTGAGAGGGGGCACTGTCCCCGCCCAGCTACAGCCCTGCCTAAGACACCGAGGAAAAGACCTTCAGCTGACAGCAGTCAAGCCGGTGGCCCAAACCCGACTCTCCACGTCTCTCTCAAGGACCAGTCGCTAGCCCCGCCCTCTCCCTGGAGATTAACTGCTTAGGTGCTGGAACGGTTTTGCTTGGCTTGCGAGTAGGATGCAAAGACTAGACGGGGTGGGGAAGACTTGACATGTTGCTTTGGAGGGGGAAAAAACGGTCCGTCCTCTCCCAGTCCCCGTCCCCCAAGAACTCAGCCCCAAGGACTCACCTGCCCCCGTTTCTCTTGTAGTTGTCTGGTACGTAATGAGGCTGCAAGGGAGAACAAATGGGATACTTAGAGCTCACGTGGAACCCCTCTACTGAAAACCAGGAGGGCTGCCCCCCCCCCCGGTCTTGTCATGAATCTGTGGCAGTGAGGTAGGTCATAAAACGGCAGAGTGAGGGAAAGGAGGGGGGGGTCTCGTGGCCCTGTGGCTGAGGGCCCACTCCTCTGCTCCATCCCAAAGTCTTGTGAAAAGTGGGGCAATACCACAAACTCCAGAGACTGGGGACAGAAGGCTGCCCAAACGAATCGATGGATGCTTGATGCAGGACAGGCAAAAGAAACCGACGTCTTTGCACATAGATTTGGGTGGGTAGCCATGTTGGTCAGAAGCGACAGAACAAAGTTTGAGCCCAGTGGCACCTTTAGGACCAACAAAGCTTAATTCTGGGTAGAAGCTTTCGTGCGGTATACGTTTTTTGCGTGCACGCGAAAGCTCGTGCCCAGACTTAAACTTTATGGGCCTTCAAGGTGCCACTGGAATCAAACTCTGGTATTTGCACAGTATATGAATAACGTAGGCAACTCCCTGCCACACAACGTAGTGATGGCCACCCAGCTTAAAGGGCTGATAAAGGCCAGCAGGCAAATTCATGGAAGACAGAGAGCTATAATGACTAAATGGTGTCTCCTTGTTCAGAGGCAGGATACCTCTGCATAGCTGCTGCTGGGAAGCAAAGGAAGAAGAAGAAGAAGAGATTGGATTTATACCCCGCCCTTCACTACCCAAAGGTGTCTCAGAGCGGCTTACGATCTCCTTTCCCTTCCCCTCCCCACAACAGACACCCTGTGAGGTAGGTGGGGCTGAGAGAACTCTGACAGACACTGCTCTTTTTCAAGAGCAGTTCTTATCAGAACTATGGCTTGCCCAGGTGCAAGTGGAGGAGTGGGGAATCAAACCCGGTTCTCCCAGATTAGAGTCCACACACTTAACCACTACACCAAACTGGCTCCTGAAGGAGAGGAGCGATCACCTTCATGCCCTGGGCTTGAGGGCTCTCTGGAGGTGCCAGGCTGGCCTCTGTGGGGAATGGGAAACTCGGCTAAACGGATCTTTGCTCCAAACCAGCAGGGTTCTTATATTATTAGCTGATGGAATAGTGTGAAACACCAACCCCCCCCCCCCCCCCAAAAAAAAATCCGTACTGTACATTAAGTCTGGGGCCCAAGTCGATGCTTCACTTTGACTAGGTTATGGAAAGTTTGCGTGTGCCTGGTGTTCTGCTTTGGTCAGCCACAGGGAGGGATCGAAAGCAGTTCTGTGGAGCCGCCGAGCCACACGCCTGACCACCGGAAGTCCTGCTCTCATCTTCTGCAACTGCAATAGGCGTTACCTGCCTGACTTTTACAGTCAGTCCTGCAGCCTTAAGGGCTTGGTTTCTGTGAGGCTCCCCCATCCCCGGAGCAGGCCCCCTGCCCTCTGGGGTTTCCCCAGATGGAAGGGAAGGGAGGAGACGGTCCCCGATCCGGCCTCAGGACTGGGAAGCTATTCTGGCACACTGGTCCTCTACCTCCCCCCTGGACTGGATCGTTCTGACCGCCTCTCTTTCCTTCTATTTATTTATCTTATATCCCACCCGATCGCACAAGTGGGCTCAGGGTGGCTCGCAACATATAAAAGGTTGGATTCTCCGTGCCAAAGAGTGTCTCAGTGGCTGCTGCGGCATGCACGCACGGCGCTGGACACAAGGGGGGAACCCCTTACCGAGAAGTCTCTCTTCGGGGTGAGCCTTTTGGGGAAATGGTCGAAGGCGTAGGACTTGGTGCACACGGGATAGCGGTTGCGGTGGATCTTGTAGAAGAGATGGGCCGATTTGTCGAGGCGGTAATCGCAGATGTAGACGTCCTGCTCCTTCACTCCCTTTGGCCGTCCTGCAGTTGTGGGGGTGGGGTGGGGACATTGAGAGTGTTTTCAGAAAAGACGACAGAGCAGCCGAGCGTGACTTTTTTCTTTTTTATGGTTTCAGAGGGTAGCTGTGTTGGTCTGCAATACGAGAGCTGGTAGCAACCAACGTGATTTCCAGGGTATGAGCTTTCGGGAGTCACGGCTCTGATGGAAGAGAAGAGGAGGGATGGGATTTATACCCGGCCCTTCACTACCCAAGTGAGTCTCAGAGCGGCTTACAAACTCCTTTCCCTTCCCCTCCCCACAACAGACACCCTGTGAGGTAGGTGGGGCTGAGAGAGCTCTGACAGAAACCGCTCGTTTTCAAGGACAGCTCTGTAACGATTTCATGTTTAACTGTGTGTGTGTGACTTTAAAAGTTTGGATGCATGGCTGTATGATAGTCTAGAGTAGTGGAAACAAGCAAGTGGTGTGATTGGTGAGTGAGAGAGGGGGAGGGGTTTTGGAAATGATTCTGTGTGGATGAGCAGATATGTCAGTCAAGAGTTACAGTTAAGACAGTTAGTGAGATGACAGTTGAAAGTTAGTTTTAGTTAAGTTCTGAAGTCTGAGAGAAGAAGGACACATCCCTGTGTGGGATAATTTGGTTCTGTGTAGTAAAAGAGTTAAGCAGTTTGTTCGTTTTAAGGTCTGAGAGAGAGAAGTCTTGTGTGTGTTATGAAAAGTTGAAGTATAAAGAGACAGTAACCGTGTATGGCCTAAAGGGAAAAAAGTATTACAAAGTTACATGCCCAGATCCCTGACAGTGGGAGAGAAAAGTGTGTGAAATATCAATAAATCTACTTTTATTTAAGATACCAGTTCTGAAATAAATTCTTCCAAGGAAACACATAGACCCTCGTGAACGCCTAAACCCTCGGTATACCTACCCAGTGAGAAATATTATAGTAAAAGGTTTGGAAAGCCTTATAAATTTCCTGGTGGCATCCGGAATACCCAGTAAAATAAAATAAAAGGAACACTTTTAAAGGGAAACAAGACCTCCCCAGTTAAGGGGACGTTACAAGCTCTGACAGAACTATGGCTTGCCCAAGGTCATCCAGCAGCTGCAAATGGAGGAGTGGGGAATCCAACCCGGTTCTCCCAGATTAGAGTCCGCACACTTAACCACGACACCAAACTGGCTCTGATGGAGGGTCTCTGATGAAGGGACCTCTGCATCTTACAATAGCACTACGAATAAGATTAGAATTTCAACAGCCAATCCCTATGCAAAAGAACCTCCTCAGGAAAGCTCCTCCATCAGCATGTCACAACCTGGGGAACTCCTACAAGATAATGACTCAGCCCTACCCCACCTTCCTGAGTAGATATAAATTACCTGCCTACCATTTTTCTTCTCACATGGACACAGAGAGTGTACTCCATCTTTCTGTGCTATACTTCTGAGGATGCCAGTCACAGCTGCTGGCGAAATGTCAGGTCCTACAATGCCAAGACCACGGCCATACAGCCCGGAAAATCTACAACAACTAAGGAGCTTTAACTCTTGGAAGTGTCTAACCCTGGAAACCTTGCTCTTCTGCTGCGGACTGACATGGCTCCCCACCTGAAACAACCTGATGTTCAGACAGTAAAGGTGTTCTCGGGGGACTCTTCGCCACCCAGGAATCCTTCTGGACAGTCAACTGCAAGAAATCAGACTTCTGCCTCCTTCCCTGGCTCAGCCCCAAACAGCAGTCCGGTTCTTCCTTCAGCCCCTGCCTGGGCTCGTAGAGTATGCCGCGCAGCTAGCAGCCACCAGCGATCAAGGGCATCCGTGCTTTTTTTACTCTAATCTATTTGTTATTTAAACTTCTACGTCTCACTGCTCAGCTTTCGAGGCAGCTCGCGCTCAATCGACAGCTAACAATGAGATCCAAAGGGTCCTCCTCCCTCACGGATGACCGTGGGAGAGTCTTGCCATGCTGGCAGTGAGGCAAACAGCAGGATTCCCCGCCCCCCCCGCAAGAAGCATCCCCCACAGCGGACCAATCTGAAAGAGGAGCAAGCAATGGCTTCCTAGTCTCCTGCCCTGCCCCTATCAGTGCTGACCCTGCAGCAAGACAATTGACTCTGTTGGTTAACACAGGAGGAACGGGGCAGGTAGATTCCTATGGACAGAAATCAGATGGAACTATCTTGCATACGCCCTTCTTGCAGGGTGAGCAGGATGCGTGGCCCACCAGGGGAGGCCGATCTGTGTTGACAGAGAAGGAACTGCCTTCCTCCATCCAAGGCATGAAGCCGGCAGTCTTCAAGCAGCAGTTGGATGAACGTGTGTTAGGGATGCTGTAGGTAGATCCTGCCTTGAACAGGGGTTTGGACTAGACTGCCTGTGTGGCCCCTTGGAACTCCATGGTTCTATTTGTTCCAAAGCTGCCCCTTCCCAGACCAGGGCTCTGCAGTCCCTCAAGAGGCCTACGTATTTTTAACAAAGACACCCAGTGCTCTTGCAATACGTCTGGGACTTCTGGTGTTAATTGTTCTAATCTGCCCAGAGCTGAGTGCACGTTCTTCTTGGTCTGAATTAAAACCAGAGGAAAACTTCACTCTTAACACCTGAAAAACATTCGCTTTTAGAATACAAGAACAATGGCCTGCTTCTGGAGGAGTTTATACCCCTGGGATTTCTGTGCAAATTCATTTAGCCAAGTGTACCTCCTCTGAGGCACAGGTTATTCTGCTGTAGATCAGGACTGACTATCAATTCTAGCTCGCCTCCTTGGGGTGCACCCTGAATAATGCTAACGAGCTTGAGCTTCTGGCTGCCAGACGATCGTAGGATCTCCTGGCTACACGACGCACGTGGAAACAATCAACCAAACAGTCCTTCTCAGGACTTACTTGGCAAGGGGTATAGGAGACTGCATCCGAATCTGCCAAATGAATACTGAGGGTATAAGCGAGTCTAAATGCCAATACTTTTCACATGCCATACAATAAATAAATAATAAATCCAATTAGCCATCTTGCTCCCATAAAAACTGACTGGAAGAAGGTAAACTCAGGAAAGCGACTCATCCAGAGACAAAACAGGGAGCCTCCTCTCATTCTGCTGTATCCCTGCATTGGTAGTGAGTGAATGATCCATGCCAGCGGAAACAAAACAAGGCCAGAGCAGTATACCATCCAGTCTCCTCTTTACACAAACGTCAAGGAAGCCTGTGTGGTTACCGTGTTACTCTCTTTCTCTCGTGCCAGCAGAGAGTTTGAGAATTCTTTGGTTCAGAACAGAGGGCATGATCTGAAGACACATGGAACCACCTTTGCTCCAGCCATGCAGGTCTTGCCTTTGGTCAGTGCCAGGAGGGGAGGCCGATTGCCTGGGAACCTTAAGTATGCCCACTGTGCTGAGTCCCGTGAAAAGAAGAGTAAAAGAAGCCGGCTTTGCACCCGGAGATGACGACTCGCCTTTGCAATAGGTGTAGAGATCCAGCACACAGCAGGTCCCCACCACTGCCTCCAAGGGGATGATCTCGTACAGCGGCACCCGGAACAGCTCGTTGTGGTAGAACTTGCGGGAGGGGGAGTGGTGCGTTTCGTGCGGACGGAAATAGTGGTGGCCAAATGCAAACCGCTCCTCTCTGGGAGAAAATGAAAGACAAGGAATGAGGTGTTAATGTTACAGATGCCCTGACTTGGGATGGCCCGATCTCGTTGGATCTTGGGAGCTAAGCAGATTTGGCCCTGGTTAGGACTTGGATGGGAGACCACTAAGGAAGTCCAGCGTTCTTATGCTGAGGTGCCGCCATGTTACAGACGTCTCCCTCAGCTGAGGGCTACCCCCCCCCCTTTCACAGTGCTGACGGCCACAGTCATCACAATCACACAGCAAAAGCGCAGAATACACCTTTGGGTAGAGAAATCAGAGCTATTTGTGAAACTTGGACAACTTTCCTATTTAGAAACTAATTCTTATTTATCCACAGTGGAGAAAATCTCCTGAAAAAGGCCATCAGCAGCTTCCACCAGTGTGTCCTAACACTCCTAACGGAAGCCTGAAATTAAAGGGGTCAAATAAAGTATTAGGCATTCAGCCGAATGCAACCACAGGGCCTGTAAAACGGAGATGTTCCACCAGGCCTATGGCTGAGGCGCTGGGGACCCAAATTATAATGGCCTCCCCGGCAGTGTTTCCTCTAAGATGCGTTAGTGTGAGCTAGCTCACAGTTTTTTTAGCCTCCGGCTCACACACTTTTGTCTTAGCTCAGGAAGGATGGCTCCAGAGCAAACTCATTTATGCAGCAGCCAAATCGCTCGCTCACAGCTTCAAGGCCAGTACCTCACAAGGTAGAATTTTTGCCCTCAAGACTCCGCAGCTTAGAGGGAGCATTGCTCCCTGGCTATGGCTATTCCATCTGCCTTATCTCCACTTTGCACTGTCTCATCTGCCCGGCCCCCTCCCTGTATTTTCCACACCTCCCTGTATACACATAAGGAGCCCTGGGAAAAGATGACATTTGGTGCCATCGAGGATGGCTTATGAGTATTAACTGAGACTGATTTTAAATTGCTATTAGGTTTTTAATTGGTTCATTGTAGGTTGTATACTGACGTAACCCACCCCTGAGCCTGCTTGTGGAGTAGGGCGGCCTGGAAGTCCAATAATAGATAAAAATACATAAAGGCTGCGGTCACACACACTAAATAATCCACTTTCAACCCACTTTCAGTGCACTTTCCAACTGGATTTTGGCAGTTCACACAGTAAAATCCAGTTTGAAAGTGCACTGAAATTGGATTAAAGGTGGATTATTCAGTGTGTGTGACCGCGGCCAAAGAAAGCCCAGGCTACATGAACAGCAGCAACCATGCAAATCACCAGACCATGCAAATACACCTATTTTGCATAACTAACTGGAATCCCAAGTTTGGGATTCGAGGACACAGAAAGGCGGGAGGGTTTTGTGAACCAAATTTCAGATGGCTGTCTGGGTTTTGGGTGATTCCCTCCCCCCCAAATGTGCTCAGAGGCTCCGCTTCAAACCTTGACATTGCTGTAGAGTTCCGTTCTTCACACCTGACTGACCTGAACTTCAGCATCCTATTCTAGTGGCATACAACAGCAAAGCACAGCCATACGTAAAAGAAAGTCAAGATGCAACCTCATCTATGGGGAGAGACAGACCTAGTTTTCACCGACAGGGATCAATCTATGCCTGGGCTTGGACCACTTCAGAATGCAGGTGAAGCTTCCCCCCGAGGAAAATCTAAACCAGACTCACTGGGACAGTCAGTCATCCTAGGAAAAGTTGGGAGGCAGCAGGAAAAGAGGAAGATCCAACCGCGGCCCTCCCTTTGCAAGACCTGAGCAAGGCTGTCAACGAAGGACGGGACATTTTGGAGGTCGGTCATTCATTCATTCATTCATTCATTCATTCATTCATTCATTCATTCATAGGGCTGCTTGTAAGTTGGAAGCAACTGGACCAGGCCAGTAGCTACGGTGGGGTTCTTTGGGGCTCCGCCCCCTTTCTTAAAGGCACAGCCCCACAAGAATTTCGCCTGTAAATGCTTTTTTTCAATCATTTTAAAACATTTTTTTTAAAGGCATATGCTCTTTTAAGCAGAGTGGGGTGCTATAGTTGACTAATTCCTGCACTGAGCAGGATCCCCTCTAGCTCTGTGTCAAGAAACTGGTCTCCTTTAGGAGAGTTTAAGAGCCGAAGTGTTTAGCTTTCTTGACTACACCCCACCTGCTGGCTTATCAAAACTGTTGCTTCATCTGGCAGAAGTGATTTAACTTGCGGCGGTTGAGAACTGTCATCCAAAGGGGTTGACGGCTTGCAATTTAGAGCTCTACCCTGGTAACAGCTTTCTGTTGGCTAAATGGCTTTTCCTTCTGCACTGAATATTTCAGCCCCACCGGGGGGGGGGGGAGTTGCCCCACAAGCCACAAGATCCTGGCTACGGGCCTGAGAATGAGTGAGAGATTACTGGCGGGGAAGGGGTGTGTGAGCCAGCCAGCTAGCTGGTCAGCTTGCGTATGGAAAGAAACAAAAAAACCCATATAGTCCTGTGACCAGCTGCCTCCTAATGCCTTCAGTGTTTGAAGGAAGAAGTCTGAGAAGGTCCCTCCGGCATTATTCTGCAAGACTTCCACGGAGTTATTAGTCTGTGTTAAGTGCTGTCAAGTTGCTTCCAACTGATGACGGACACTATGAATGAATGACCTGTGAAACATCCTATTGTGAACAAGCCTTCCTCATGTCATACAAACTGAGGGCTGCAGCTTCCTTAACTGAGTCAACCCATCTCATGTTGGGTCATTCTCTTCTCCTGCTGCCTTCGACCATTCCTAGCATGACTGTCTTCTCCAGTGACTCTTGTCTTCTCACAAGGTGGCCAAACTGCGATAGCCTCAGTTTGGTCATTTTAGCTTCTAGGGAGAGTTCGGGGTCGATTTGGTCTAGAACCCACTTATTAATCTTTCTGGTAGTCCACCGTATCCACAAAACTCTCTTCCATTTCAAATGAATCAATTTTCCTCCTGTCAGCTTCATTCATGATCCAACTTTCACATCCACAAATATTACGTTTACACAAGACTAGAAACAGAGGCTAAGAAGTCTTGCTCTGGGGCATCTGTACAAACTTTTGCTTAAGAGCTTACTTTTCATTTTTCCAGAGTTTTTCAATACGGAAGATGTCGAGCCTCTCTCGGTTGATGTGGGACAGCAGGCGATATGACTGCCGGACCGGGTGGCCATCCGGGGTCCTTCGGCTGTCTCGCATCAGGTACACACAGTCGCCTGTCATAAAAACATAAGATGAGCCCTGCTGGGTCAGACCAATAGTTCATCTCGTCCAGCATCCCGTCTCACACAGCGGCCAACCAGTTCCTCTGGAGGGCCAACAACAGGGCACAGAGGCCGAGGCTTTCCCAGATGTTACCTTCTGGCTCCGAATAGAACAAATTGTTTCGATACAGCAGAAAACATATGCAAAACCTTAACAAACGGAGAACCAATTGGGGAAAGCGTATTTAGGATATTTACATTTTGGCATTCCAACAAGCTGAGGGCAGCTGACACGAAAATGGAAACGAGACAATCGTAACAATTTAAAGAATTATAAAACTGCAAAAATTTGCCGTTAATCACAATCACCTCTTCCAAATACCACTCAATCGCAAATGTCAAGGCCAGAACAACCATGATCTGCAATCTTTCTGAGAGCACAAACAAAACAAAACAGTAGGATTCTGGCAAATTAGTCTCCAGGCATGGGGGCTGTTTCAAAGGAGAGGAGCAACTACACAAAAACACAAAAACTCTGACTTCTGGCTAAGATGACTACATGAGATGGCAGAATGGGTCGCCAGAAACCTCTGAACTGACCCAAATGCATGCATGGGTCTCCACCAGGAGAGGTGAGTGGCACATCCGAATGCATGTGCACCTGCACACCATATATCGCTTTGCAGAAGAATTTTTCTAATAACCACAACGCCCTAGGTCTGTTAGAGAGCTGAACAGATTTTTAGCTTTCAGGGTGGTGGAGGAACCTTACAGGAAAGAGCCACAGATTATGCAGTAGAGCACAGGTTCCATACGCAAAAGGTCTCAGGTGCGATCCCTGCATTGCCAGTTAAAAAGGATTCTCAAACAAACAGGTGACGGAAACAACCTCTTGGAGAACCATTGCCAGTCAGAGCAGACGATGCTAGGCTACAGGGCCAGTGTCCTGACGCGGGACGAGGCAACTTCACACAAGCCTCGGTACCCCTCCCAGTGAGTGTGGAAGGCTCCAGGACTTCAGGAGAGATTCAAGGGTCCTTTGGGGTACCTCTCACCGAACTCCAAAGAGAACAGACACCTACCTTGGCGAAGCAAGAGGTCATCCCGTAAAAGGCAGATGAAATAAACGCAACCGGGCTGGGCGTAATGAGGCCGGGGAATCATAGGTACCTCCTGGGAAAGAAAAGAGCAAACGGGTTAGAAGTACCACCCCCAAAGATGTCAAGTTGTATACAGATGAGACACATTTAGGGGGGGGGGGGAGGTTAGCTGCAGAATTAGAAAAGGCCCCAAGACCTCACAATGTATGACGGAAGGGTAGCAGTATAGGAAGGTCTCACTTTTAACTTCCGTTCTGCTAAGTAAGGATACACTGCTTTTACACCAGTGAAACCGACCTACTGCCCTGAGGAACCATGGGGACTGTAGTTTTGTGAGAACACGGAGAATCCTGATGGCCACCGAACCACAAACCCTTGAGAGAAGACCCTGCAAACACAGAGGAGTCCACTATCCAGATCTTCACACGCAAAAAGAGAAGGCACGCATCAGGCTGCCCAACTGCCTTGCAACCAGTCCTGTAGCCACAGTGGGGCATCTCGGGGCCTGCCACTTCCCTCCAAAGCCCCCCGACTTCCTATCCCGTCCAGCCCCCCCCCACTTCCATTTTTTAATTTTATTTGTGGTGCTCACTTGGTGCCCTATTTGTGGTGCCCTGACTTATTTAAAGCCCCCCCCCCCCAATTTAAAAATCCTGGCTACGGGCCTGCTTGCGTCTAGACAACTGGAGACGTCTTACCCTGTCCACCGTGCGGGGTTCACACTGCTCGCACAAGTAGTGCTCGACATCAGAGTTCACTCCCATGCAGTCACAGTGCTGCCAAACCTGTTAGGGGAAACCACCAGATCAGAGAATGGGGTACGGGAAATCCATCTCCCCCAACGAGCACCAGAACAGAAAAGACAAGAAGCTGTAGCCTGTTAGTTGCGTAGTTGTGGGTAGCTTTGTTGGCCCTTTACTGGAGCTAACCAAAATAATAGAAGGCAGTGTGCAAGCTTCTGTGTTCTCCAGAACTCTTCAGCGGGCTGCCCAAGGAGGTCAGGAAGGCTCCCGTTCTCATGGCCTTCTGCAAAGTATGCAAAACTGAATTGTTCCAGAGGGCTTTTCTACGCAGGCTACAGGCGGTACTATAGAAAAGGGCTTCACCAATTTACTTGCATAAATTAATTGGGGACTGCCGTCTGTATTAGTTAGTGTTGTAAAGCTTGCTGTGGGTTGGATCCTATTGTGTAATAATGTGTCCTGTTAATATTCGTGCTTTGCTTCTTCTCAGTTTCTCAGTCTTCTGGTAGGTTCCACAACCCGACTCTTATCTTATTGGCTGTCCCGTCTCGTTGACTGCAATTTGACTCATTCTGTGTAATCTGCCTTGAATCCCAGTGAGAAAGGCGGACCGTTAAGTAAAGTAAATAAATAAATGTGGTTGTTTTTTTAAAGGAGGGGAAAAGAATAAAAAGCAGAGCCCCGTGAAAATATATGACAGAGCTTTGCAGATCTTCCAGGCTAGCATGAAGGCGCTCACAGGCAGGCAACAGAGAGACCACCTGTCTTGCCTGGAGGAGCCACATACCTTGGTGCTGACTCCACTCACATTAGTCAGTACTGGGCAAGGTGGACTCAGCACACGGCAGCTTCATGGGAGGGGCCGTGGCTCAGGGGTACAGCATCTGCTCAGAATGCAGAAGGTCCCAGGTTCAATCCCTGGCATCTCAAGTTAAAAGGACCAGGAAGTAGGTGACTTGAAAGACCTCTGCCTGAGGCCCCGGAGAGGGGCTTTAGCTCAGTGGCAGAGGTTCCCCTTTGTGTGCAGAAGGTCCCAGGTTCAATCCCCGGCATCTCCAGTTAAAAGGACCAGGAAGTAGGTGATGAGGAAGACCTCCACCTGAGACCCAGGAGATCCGCTGCCAGACAGAGTAGACGATACTGGCTTTGATGGACCAGGGGTCTGATTCAGCGCAAGGCAGCTTCATGTGTCCTCCCTGGCCCCCCTTCCCAAAGGAGGTACAATCTGGAAGTCTTCAGTGAGAGAGGCATGGTCACCCCCCCCCTTGCAGGGTGAAGCTTCTGCTTTAGAAATGGAGGGGTACCAACACCACTGCACCTGCCTCTTAACCCAAGGGGCGGGCATTCAAGCAGAGGCTGAAACGGATGGGTATTGCAGCTGTGCGTGCAAGAGGATCTGGGAGGGAAAGGGTTAAGAGAATCCTCTCACTGGGGTACACGTGGCAGTTGGCCCCGCCCTCTCATGGGTTAGATGTCCAGCCTCTTTGGCCCTTGATTGCTTTCTGTGCTTCATCTTATATAGGACCTCTCTTCTTCTCTCTGACCTGGACTTGGAGCTGTAGCAAGTTAACCTTTTTTGAAGTTAATCTGCTCACAGTGTTAAATGTACCTACATGAATACGTCATGTAACCTGTGCTTCTACTTATGTAAGTCAAGTTTCTCTCTCTTGTTACCGCCGGAGTCAGATCGTCTTTATAATCTGTTTGAACAGCATTTCCCCCTTAACTAGGAAATGCAGAGGATTAGGAATACTGTGCAAAGCTTCTGTGCTTCCAAGGCAAAATTGATTTTTTTTTACAGTTAACCCAATAGAAACTTACTGTCACGGCAGGAAAACGCTGGCCACCTTTCTAGGCCTGACTAATATGTGCATAGGAAGGGCAGAAATAGGCAGACCCTAAATTAGTTATAGAGGGGAGGGAATTGGCCAAAAGACAGTTATGGAACAGAGTGCTAGCTAAGGACCCCTCCTGTCCAGCGATTAGGGCGGCTCTCCTCATGCAAATTTGGACATCCCTGCCTGCTTTCAGAGTCAGTGGATGGAGTAAGCCTTGCTCAGTTATCCTCCCGCACTGATGGGCAACTGTAATTTCTAGAGTTCCTCACAGGAAGGAAGGAAGAGCCAGTGTGGGACTGAAGCATGTTAACCAGCTGTCATTCAACCTTGAAGACAGAGAGATGTAAGGAGGCCCTCTAGGGACACATGTGAGAACTGCAGCTCTGTCAAGCAAGACGGTTTCTGCGTCTCACCGGGAGTTTGTTTGTCTTAAAGAAGAGGAGGTTGGATTTATACCCCGCCCTTCGCTCTGAGTCTCAGAGCGGCTTACAAACTCCTTCCCTTCCCCCTCCCCACAACAGACACCCTGTGAGGTAGGCGGGGCTGAGAGAGCTCTTCTCTTTCAAGGACAGCTCTTGTCAGAACTATGGCTTTGCGCAAGGACATCCAGCAGCTGAAAGTGGAGGAGTGGGGAATCAAACCCGGTTCTCCCAGATTAGAGTCCGCACACTAAACCATGGCACCAAACTGGTGCTCCCTGACATTGGTTTCAATGGGCATTTCTTGATGGGAAACAAATGTGGTCTCTATGCAGTTAAGAACGCGGCCCATCTACCGAGGGTGAGGAGTGTGAGGAGTGGGCGGTCCGGCAGCCTCACCATGCACTTGTCGCACTGGATCATGAGTCCTTCGTCTTTGTACAAGCCGCAGATGCACCGGATGACGTCCTCGTCTTTCTCGTGCCCGCTCTCCTTCTCGCACATGGAGGTCTCGCTGCTGTCTGCCTCGCTCGCCGTCTCACCCACGATCTCGTCGATCTGGGCGGCCGCCTCGTGGCGGGCATTGTAGTAGGCCTTCCGGAGCCGGCAGACGTCCCGCCCGATCGGCGATTTCCTGCCGTAGTATTTCTAAGAGCGAAACAGAAGGCCAGCGATCGAACAGATAAGAGGAAGTACCTCAAGTCAAGTTGCAACCGACCTTCGGCAACCCTAGCCAAGGGGCTTCCAAGGCAAGTGAGCAGCGGAGGTGGTTTCCCCACGGCCTCCCTCTGCCACGTCTTCCTCGGTGGGTCTCCCATCCAAGTACTGACCCTGCTTCGCTTCTGAGATCGGGCTGCACCAAGCTGCCTTCCCTCCAGGCTCCATGATTAGCAGAATAAATCACGCACAATATAAATTACGCACGTTAAGCTGGGCTATTTTTGGGCAGGAACGCAGAGGAACGGAGTTCCGGCTGGCTCCTGATTTGGCCACACCCAGCAGGAACTCATTAGCATAAAGGCCACACCCAACAGCAGAAACTCATTAGAGTTGGCTACCGTAGGAGTGTGTGGCCTAACATGCAAAGTAGTTCCTGCTACAAAAAAATAACTCTGGGTTTTGACAACAAACAAGGTAAACAGAATAAGAAGCAAAAGGTGGGTATGGCTGGATGACCACACTTCTGGTAACATGGGGCTACGGCCTAATATGATAATGTGCTGTGCTGTCAAGGGTGTGGCCTAATATGCTAATGGTTTCTGCTGTTGGGTGTGGCCTTTATGCTAATGAGTTCCTGCTGGGCTTTTTCTACAAAAAAAGCCCTGACGTTAAGTATTTAACCTGTTCATTTTGTGTGGGTCACAGAATTCAATTTCTTTCTTTTTGGGGGGGGGGGAGGTGCTGATTTCTGTTGGGCACCAGCTGTGCCACAAGCCAAAGCAGCCGCCGAGGACACGTGGGACGAATTACCCCAAGGGTCCCCCCTCTGGGAAGTCATTCTCCCCGCCCCAACGGCTCACAATCTGCCAGGAGAGAACTCGGATTAAAAATGACGACTCCAACCACTGAGCTCTCGTGTCCCACCAGAAGACATCCAGACAGCTGGTTAAGGATTCTGACTTTCTCTGCTTCACAATGAGAGGCCCAGCTAAAGACCACGAGGCTGCTCCTGGCCTATCACGGGGTTGGTTTTCATCCCACCTTAGCTACCAAAGCTGGGGGGGGGGGGCGAGGGGGGGAGGAAGGGAGGCAAAGAAGTCAGTTGCAGGAAAAGTATAGGAGCTCTCGATGCATCTTGCCACTGCAGAGCAGGCAGGACCAAGATGGGGGGACAGGGTGAGACGGGAGCTCCTCCCACCGGCAGGGGCAACCCCCTCGCTCGCTCCTTCCTCCGTGGACAGAGGTCTGGACACTCCTGCCCACCGGACTCAGCCTCACCTCGGCGTTGCGGAAGACCTTCAGCATGTCACCGTCGAAAGCTTCCACGGTTTTGTAGTAGCCCGTCAGGATCTGCTTCTCGATGGTGGCGAGGTCGAGAGGGTCGGAAATCTTCTCGTAGTAATCCGCATTCCTGAATGGGGGGGGGGGAGACACGGGAAAACATGCCCACGTCACTCCCCGGGTGCCGAACCGACCTCCCAGAAGCCCGGGAAGAGCCTGGGGCTCTCCTCTCCCTCCTGCCCCTGCCCCACAGACAAAGACCTACTTTTTCTTCGGGGGAAGATTCAGCAGCGGAGCGGCGAGCGCCTGCCGGGAGGAATCTGCGAGGGAAGCAGAGAACAGCTGTCACCACGGGGAGGCTCTCAGGTTTGGGGACGGGGGACTCTGCTGGACAGCTTATTCTTTTTGCGGGGGAGCAGGGGAAGAGACCCCCCCCCTCCAGCCCACGTGCCTGCCTCTTGCCTCGATCTCCCTCTCCCCTAGCCAATGAATGAAGAAACTTGCCATCGAGTTGCGGCCAACTCATGGCAGTGCACTCATGGGCGCTCACGGCGGGAGACATTTAGAAGTGGTTTGCCATGGTCTGCCTCTGCGTCGTGACTCAGAACGTCCCTGGGGGGGCCTCCCAGCCAAGTACTAACTGGGACCAGCCCTGCTTAGCTTCCCAGCTCTGATGGGCTCGGCTTGAGCCAGCCTGTTCAAGCAGCTGCCCCCGAGTCCATAAGGAGGGCAGAAAAAGGAAGGAATGGGTGGGTGGGGGCGACGGCTGTGCCTCGAGAGCTGGCCTCTTCCCACCCACCCCCCAGGTCATCTTTATCTGGTGGTCCTGGCCCTCCAGCCCCAACGACCACATTCCCTCATGATGCTGAACTTCCGCACGTTTGTGTGGTATCAAAGAAACAAAAGAACTGAGACTAGGGTAGAAGAGAAGATGAGATTGGATTTATACCCCAGCCCTTCACTCAGAGTGGCTTACAACCTCCTTTCCCCTCACCTCCCCACAACAGACACCCTGTGAGGCAGGTGGGGCAGAGAGAGCTCTTTCGAGGACTGCTCGGGAGAGAACAGCTCTGAGAGAACTTGTGACTGACCCAAGGTCACACCAGCAGCTGCATGTGGAGAAGTGGGGAATCAAACCCGGTTCTCCCAGATTGGAGTCTGCGTTCCTAACCACGACACCGAACCGGTAGCTGAGAGCCACTGGGAGCGGCATGGGAGAGGGACAGTTAGACGCCCCGAATCAGAAGGGGAGGGAGCGAGGCTGGCCCATCCTACAACTGAGCTACCTAACCCTGACCCTGAACGCTGTCGGAGAGAAAGAAACCGGCCTTCTGGAACTCGCTGCCAAAACCCGGAAACCCCCGCCACCGAGCGCACCCCTTCCCCATTGTATACCCGGCCCTGTCACGCTGGAGGCCGCTAAACGCTCGGCTCTGGCCTTCGGTGCTCTGCTGCCGTCACCTTTGTACGAGATGATGCCGTCGCAGATCTCCTTGAAGATTTGCGCGAGGCGGGCGGCTCGCGCCACCTCCAGGTTCTCCTCGGCTGCAGCCAGCCGCCGCGTCCGCACGGAGCGGGAGGTCTGCAGGGCGGAGAACTGGGTCATGAAGACGTCTGGGGGGGGAAGAGAGGAGGGTGGGGGAAAGAAAGGCCTCTTAAGCACAAAAGCCTGTCTTGTTCCTCTCCTTCAAGCGATACGGGTCTTCAGGGACTTAATGAAATCTGGTAGTATTAACCCCGGCCCGCCCCCGTTGATGCGACCAGAAACTTTAACTGGGCCTTCGAGACGATTAAGTAAACCACTGAACCATAAAATGGGAATGAGAGCAAGGCAAACCTCACAGGGCTGTCGTGGGGACAACAAAAGTTGCGAAGCTCCATATACTGTGAGCCTGCGAAGCTCTATATATTGTGAAGGCTCCATGGGAGCTCCTGAAATTTGGTGCTGGCCGTTACTGGCTTTAAAAGGGGTTTAAACACAAATGGCCCCAGTCACACTGTACACCTTAAAAGTTTTGTTTGCAAGAACTGAAGCAAGGGGGAATCAATTGCTTGGGGGGACATCCGTTAGCCACAACAGGTAAATGGTGCTTCCAAGTTTCAAGGGCAATTTGCCAGAGAGCACGGACTGCCGGAGGGACGAGACTGAATAAGTCACTTGGCCTTCCTTGGGTTCTCTTGTTGGCCGTTGTGAGAAACAGGAAGCTTAGCTAGACGGACCAGGGCTTTTCTGGTGTTCCTTGGGCTTCAGAGAGTAAAAGTTGAGGGTGCTTTTTGTCTAATTGCTTGAAAGTCATCACACGCGGAGCTACCTTATACTGGATCAGCCCAGAGGTCATTTCGGGGGGGGGGGGATGGGGGTTCCCCGGGGGGG